AGAAAATATTGTGTAATGGATTGAGATCAAATATTAGGATATTCATTCATTCACGGAGAGATACACTGCTAAGAGGGCTATGAATAGAGATATATAATGATTCTGTTTGTTTTTTGCATGTGGGCAAGACTTGACCTTAACCTGTGCCGGAGCATTAGCTATAGTTTTAATCCTGATTCTGTCTCTGAATTATAGCAGTTTAGAGATCAATTTGGTGCTCATCACTTGTAGTAAGAACTCTGAAATCTTATTATAATCTAGTCAGTGTTTTATTATGTATTTTGAACCATATATCAGCTGGTAGTTGCCTAATCATTATTCTTGATCCTAGATTTTCTTATCATTATTTCAACATGTCTTGGTCATTGTTTATTTACAAGACGCCAATACATATTAGAGATTATTTTTATTATTGCCTACTACTATCTCCCCTTGTCACACACTTTTAGGTCTTTAAGTTACATGTCTTGATTGGAGCAAAATGAGATGAGTCAATTTTTTAAGTTTTGGTAAGTCAAAATCAATTAACTAAATAAATGATGTTATTGAGGGAAGGAGAAAAAATAGCACAGCAATTGGGGGTTCCTTGTGATGTGTATTGACTTGAAAAGTCTCTTACAAACAAAGACTATTTTTCTTTATTAAACTTGAGCCCTATATTAACCAAAGAACTCAATTGTAAATATGAGAATTTATTAACTCAATTGTATAAAACCAACACTGTTTGTTTGGCATTTCTTATGGTGTTTTTCCTTGTTATTTCGATGGTGTTTTTGATGCCAAAGTACTTTTATGTAATTGGTAGTTTGTTCAATTTGGATCATAATCAACAAAATTTGCAAAATGGGAGAAAGCGTACCAAAGATGAAAAGAGTATGATTGAGGAGGAAGAAGAATTAGAAGATTTTTTATTTATAGTAAGTTTTATTGCAATGGTTATTAGAGTATCACAGAACTATAAGTATAGATTACGAGAAATTTCATGGGATGAAAGTGAACATGCTCACTGTAGATCTCTTTGAATGAAAATTCTAGAATGTGTAGCTACATTCAAGAAACTGTATGGCATTTTGCAATCTAAAGGAGGGTTGGCGGCTTCAAGAAATGTTACAATTAAAGAAATTGTATCATTGTTTGTGCATATTCTTGCTCATGAAATAAAGTATAGATGGATTAAGGTAGGTTTTGCACATTTTAGAGAAACGATTAGCAGATAATTTCATATGGTTCTCAAGGCTATTATGAAAATGGGCAAAATACTATATCAAAGACATCAATTCAGATGCAAATTATCAAGATAATGACAAGTGGAAATTCTTTGAGGTAATAAAAGTTTGTAATTCAATTCATATAATTGTTAATTGTTTGACAATGATATTTTTTTAGGGTGTGCTTGGTGCACTCGATGGTACCCATATTCAAATTACCGTTCCAATTGAAGATCGGGCAAGGTATCAAAATAGGAAATGTGAGTTGAGTACTAATGTTCTTGCAGTTTGTGATCCTAAGATGATATTCTCATACGTGCCACCTGGTTGGGAAGGATCTGCATCTAATTCTCGAATTTTAGGAGATGCTCTTCATAGGCATCATGGTTTAAAGATTCCAGCTAGTAAGATTTCACTAATGTTAAATAATCACTTTAAGACTGAGAAATTTGTGTCCAATACAAACTAATTATTTCAAATACTTTTGTAGATAGGTATTATCTAGTAGATATTGGGTATGCAAATAGTCCAGGCTTTTTAGCACCATATCAAGGAATAAGGTATCATCTTAATTTATGGAGAGGAAACATGCCAACAAATTATAAAGAGTTATTTAATCTTTGATACTCATCAACAAGAAATATCATTGAAAGGGCTTTTGGATTATTGAAGAAGCGATGGGCTATTTTACAAATTGCTAGCTTTTTTGATAAGCAAACTCAAGTCAAAATCATAAATATATGTTTTATTCTTCACAACTTTATAAGAGAAAAGATGTTTGAAGATGACTTACTCAGAGAAGTGGATGAAGACTTTGAAAATTCTTTGGGGGTTGAGAATGAAATTGAAGACGAGGAGAATATTAGGAGTATTCAAGCAAAACGTGAATGGACAAAATATAAAGATACTTTAACTATGCAAATGTGGAATGAATATCAAGTTGATAAAATAATATAAGTTTTTCTTATATTGGAACTGAATTGTAGTCGAAGATTTTATTTATTTATTTATTTATTTTTGTCAATTTTTGTTTTCCTTCTTTTGAATAATTACTTCTTTTTGTCTAAAATATGGGATACTTTTAATTATCTTCATAGGTATTAAGAAAAGTAGTTAAAATGATTTGTAATTTGTATAATTAAATAAGTAAAAATTATCAATATTTTTTCAAGATTAACCCTTCAATTAAAATTATCTATCTTAATTATCTTTATTTTTTATATAATATCTTTCTGCAATATAATTAATAATGACATTTGTGGAAAAAATCAATGCATCTGACCTTTTACAAAGCATCTTCAATTTTAGACCAATATTAGTTGATAAAAAATGTCATATTCCCCCATTTTTTAATATACTAGAAATTACTATGTGTATCTTTTTAATTTATAAGCAAGACTATAAATTTCAAGAAGTATTTATTATAGTTTTTTAAATTATCCCTCATAAAATTAATATTTTTTTACTAAATAAAATTGTTTCCTTAATTATAGGATAATTTAGTCTAATTTTTTTAATTTCAAACATAATTAGTGTCCTTAATTAATTAACTTTTTTAAATTGTGTGAATTGATATTTTTTCCTATATTTAAAATCACAAGGAGTATATTTTAGACTAGATAGAATAGTTAAAAGTTTAGATTCACATTATGATGGTATGAATATCATATACAAATTTTTCTTATATCGGAACTAATTTGTTATCAAAGAGGTTTGTTTTCCCCCCTTCCATACAAGCTTTTTTACATTTTGCTTTACTTGGTATTGAGAATATTTCATTTTGTCACTCGAATATTTTAATGAAGTTCTTAATATTTTGTTTTATTGTTGAATGATTAAATTTTTGAATTAATGTTGGAATTTGAAATTATTTACGCATCCAAACAAGGGATTTGAAATATATGAATTTGAAATGTGGGATTTGAAATCCAAATTTTAAATCTAAATCTCCAAATCCAAACACTACCTAAAGGCTTTTAAGGGGAGTAAATCAAAAAAATAGAGGGGACCAAATGGAGGATTATTGGAAGAACCACTGGGAATAGGGCATAGCATAAATGAAGTTAGAGAGATGGTTAAAATAAATCCTCTTGTTTTAATTGAGAATTGGCAGGAGGATTGATGAAAATAGGAAAGATAGGAGAAATGGCACAAAAATAAGTTGAATAAACCAATTGTGTAAGAGAATTAAATTAAAACCAAAGTTAATTGATTAATAGAATTGAATAAGAGTTAATCAATTGGAATCCTCCTATAAGATTTGTTAATATATATATATATATATATAAAATAAATATATTGATGATATGGACATAAAATCAGCACCTACATATCAAGAACCCATTTTTTCACATTGTAGTTAGGTTAGCTAGTTATTTCTACCCTATAAATGTAAAACCAAAGTTAATCAATTAATAGAATTGAATAAGAGTTAATCAATTAGAATCCTCCTACAAGATTTGTTAATATATATATATATATATATATAAAATAAATATATTGATGATATTGACATAAAATCAGCACCTACATATCAAGAACACCCATTTTTCCACATTTCATTTAGGTTAGCTAGTTCTTTCTACCTTATAAACTAGACACAGTCCCATGCGTTGCATGGGTTGACAAATTCAATAAAATGTAAATTCAAGTAATGATATTAGAGTTCAAAAAAAAAAAACTTGATAAGGAAGTTGAGCATTTGTTAACAAAGTTTGCTATATATGTAGCTAAAAAAAAAGTAAAAAAAAAATTAACCATTTGCAGGTTTTGCATAGAAAAAATGAAATGCCAACTTAAATTTAAAGTTGTGTAAAAGATGAATATTATTCATACAATCGTGTTGTACAAGTTGGCTAATCCTTAACATATACTCTCTTTGCCTTAAATTATAAGACATTTTTAGATAAAATCTCACGTATCAATAGAGCTTATTAAATACACTTTACAACCTTATTTTTTTAAGATAAAAATATAAATTTTTAAAAATGCCCTTCATTTAATACTCCATTAATAAAAGAATATTGAAGAAAGAGAATATATGGTAAGGATAACATTGAAAAAGTGTTATTAATAATATCTTATTTTTATCAAAGTGTCTTATATTTGAAAATGTTAAACCTTCTCTAAAAATGTCTTATAATTTGGAATGAAGTAAGTAATATATATCACCATGTGCCATGGGTTGGCTAAACACACATATGTCTATATTATAATATTACTTTATTATGACACACACATATAGTTATACTATAATACTACTAACTACAGGTTGATCTTTTGACTCTCATGATATTATATGATACACACATATAAATTTAAATAATGATAGTATATAGTCTAGACAATTACACCATAATAGGTAACACATGGTTAAGAAAATAAATGAAGTATTACCTAGATAAAGCTATTGTATTTGGCCAAAAAATGTTTAATAAGGATGTCATTCTTCACTATGTAGTTAACTCAAAAACAATTACAAAAAATCATACATTCGTACCTTAAAAGTTTTAAAAAAAATTGTAAGGTTAGAGGTAATGAGAGATTTCTTTGTGCATTATATTAATAGTATTTGACATCTAAATGAGTAAAATTAAACTAAATAGCTAATTATTAATTTATATTTCAAACAATTTCATTCCCGCATAAACTTCTAGTACGAATAACATGCATAATGCACAATATAACTTTGCCACCAATATAATCTTACCTAACTTGGCCCATAAATAAAAGTAATAAAATAATATATAGGTAGAGGCAAGGGGGTTCTTGCCCAACGCTTCCATCCAAGAAAATAAGTATATCATACATATGGAAGTGAATTTGGCTCAAGGAAAAATACATGTACAAAACCATTGTCCATAGAATAAAATTATTCTCCAAAGATAAACAACTAAATTGTAGAATCTAGAATACTGTAAAACAACTCTGTAAAGGCTTTTGACTAACTCATCCTAGAAACTTGCTCAAGCTAATTTATTTATAGGAATAAAAAAATATTAATGTAACAGAGAATAGCATAGCCACCACACTCACACAGCATCCTTTTAGTCTTTCTCATTTTTTATTTAATGGCTTACAAAAAGAAACTTGCCTATTTCTATCACCAAACAAAGCTGAAGAGGAACTTTTGTGTCACGAGTCATGATGCCAATCAAAACAATAGATAAATATTGGAAAGAACAAACTGAGAAGAAAACAAATCCAGCAATGCATCAATGGAATCGAGGTAGGAACATGCAAGAATATCAGTGTAATTTGAAGCATGTCCTGGTCAAAATAGGCAAGAGAACATGTGAGATCAGCCCATCCATTGATACAATGTAATGAGTTAAGTCCTATGTATCAAATACGAACCATGAAAGAGGGCAAAACAAGCTGATGGGACCTTTTTTAAAAAGCAAACAGAAAAATATTACTGTGCAATAGAAACTAACTGATGGATAAACTATGTAACCTTAATATATTGCATGCTATCATATTATTTATGATATAGGAAAAGCAAAAAAATCAATGCGTAGGTTACATATTTCATTGCACAATGCTCAAGGTGTCCTTCCATATCGCCATCCTTTAAAAAGACATCCTATCAATGGATATATATATATATATATATATTGCCAGTTGTAAGCATACATTAGTTTCAATTTAAATAATGACAGAAGGCAGCTCGAAATCTACTGGTGAGATGCCCCTGCTAGTACATTGCACTTCTCTGCATAAAAACAAAAACATGTTCAAAAACAATAACTTAAAAAAACAATCAAGATATAAGGGAGAAAATTCAACATAATAAACATAAATGTTAGATGGTAATACTCTAACTTACTTTGGCTGGACTCTAGTTGAATAACAAATCCCTTAAGTACAAAAAGATCTGAGCTCTTTATGGAAAGATCATCTGAACCCTCCTACAATTGATGGACACAATGAAATATACAGATAGAATAAGGAACCACACATTATGATTTATAAAACTCAACTGTTTTAATAAGGGCAGGAAACCATAAATTAACTACAAACATTCTTTCTCTTCATCTTTAACTTCGTTCAGTCTACTGCTTCCAAAGATTGTGGATATCCAGCACTAATCTCAACCTGAAAGGGAGAGAAATCATTTATAAGAAGCCATCTGATGCTCCATACAACAAATCAAGTGTTAAACTAATAAAAAGAAGTTAGAAATCAGAATAAAAAAATGAAGAGAAGAAAGGACAAGGACAATTCAGGCAAAGCTAATAAAATAGAGCTGTGATATTTGAGGGTGAAGACAAGATTCTAATGATGCCATTGTGGCTACTCAATTTGAAATTCAAATTCAAACTATTACTAATGAATTGGTCACGTGTCAGAAGGAAAGTACTATTATGAGGATGTGTGCAATGAGAGTGTCAGTGGAAGTAAGTAATAGACACAACGATAGTTTTTTAGGAGCCAAAAGGAAAATACTATTGTGTAATAGAAAATAACTTATAGATCAAGTATAAAACCTTAATGTCTTATATTCCATCAGATTATATATGATATAGGGACTAATAAAAAACAGCAAGCACATTTCATACTTCAGTGCACAATGCTCAAAGTGTCCTTTCATACTCTATATCCTAACAACCATGTCCTATCATACTTAATAAATATGAAACCTTTATCAATAGATTGAGTAGCCATAGGTGTAAAGCTAATCCTGTAAACTTATATCGATCAATCAAAAGATTATTCAAAATCTATAAATAACAAAATCACAAAAGTAATCCTGTAGACTTATATGCTTTTTAAGTACATTTGAAATCCATGTTCTAGTTTCTTCCCCCCCACACAGAGTAGCTACCACACAAATAAATAGATGATTGAAAAAGAAAAAACAGGGTAAATAACTAATGATTAAGCCTAAAAAAAGTTAAAAGAGAAAGAAAAAGAAAATAAAAGAATCCTTTGAACATGTTCTTGCTCCATGTGGTGTTAGTTATACTTAAGAAAATATAATTAAGAAAATAGCAGACAATGGTTTAATGGTAAAAGAACATATTATACAAGTTTAAATGCTTAGGATAATTAGCTCAGTGTTAGTTCAGTTGTTATTCTTCTTCTTCATCACCGCCGTGCTTGTGGGTTTACAGGGAGTCGATGCTTTAAACATATTAAGCACCACCAATCCCATCTTCATTAGTTCTAGGTCGCTGTTGTTGAGCTTAATTATTCCTTTTGCATTATTGAGCTCATGGAGAGGATTGGTGATAAAGATAAAGAAACATAACAGACAATTAAAATGATGGGTCAATTTCTCAACTATTTTAATTACGTAGAGGTAAACCTTTTTAATTATTTAGGAAAGAGGATGGTGATTTGGCTTCATATTTATCCTAAGCAAAGTCAATATATGTCATGACAAATTTAAATCCTCAATTATTCTATTACTTATATTTAAGAAAATAGCAGACAATGGTTTGATAGTAAAAGAACATTTTATAAAAGTTTAAATGATACATTTTAAACCATTGGCAGGTAAAGTGATTAGCATATAATTCAAAATAAAGGAAAATCCTCAATCTACCTACCAATCCTTTCAACATAAAATACTGTCAAAATCTTATTAGGACATAAAAATGGCTAATGACATCGATACTTGAGCATAAATACAATAAAAGGGAGTGAAGAGAGATCGAGATGACCTCTTTGGTTCCTTGCTCTAGCAATGCCAATGGAAGCAACTCCCATAGTTTGAGGTTGATTATTCTGTCTCTTTCTTCTAAAAGAATACGTATCATTTCTCCTTCTCTTCACCATAATTCAACATCAATCCTTGATCCCTACAGAATAATGTAAAAATGACATTTTGATAGTTAGAAAGCCAGACGCAGGGAATATAATAAATGGTTAAGATTTGATATCTTGGTGGCTAGATGATGAAGTTCACAAGCTGTTCCATAGATTCAAACAATCAAGATGACACCTTTCAGCTCTTTAAGATAATATATATCTTTAAAATACATAAAGCATGTATATTGGCTGAAAGTGTAGAAAAATCGAAGCAGCCCAGGAAGAAAATGGGAGAGATTAAGGATTTTCCTCATGAGTGACGACCGTTTTTTGAAACACAAAAGGCAAGAAAAAATAGACAATCATTTTCTGGCTTGTCTATGGTGTAACTAAATTTCTACTGCCGACTTCAATTTCCCGTCATGTCCACAGTAGAGTAATGGGATGAGATGTAGAAGGAAAGATGAGATTAGGTAGATAGAGAAAAGGTAGCCTATACCTACAGTAAAGGAAGAGGTGGTCAGAGGAATCAGAGGATCTGTGGCTTGGCAGAAGCAGTGGTTGGAGGCGGAAGAATTAGAGAACCTTTCCTCAAATGTGAGTTGAGTGATTGAGCTTACAGGAGAAGTGAGGATGCCGAGACAAAGCGAATGGGTAGGAAAACAAATGAGTCTGGTTTTGTGTGGTTGAGCGATTAGGCTTGTAGGAGAAGTCAAAAGCCGAGTACTATTGCCCTCTGAAAAATGATGATAATGCCGTACAAAATAGGCAAGGAAGTCTTGTAAAAAATCTTCTCCCAGATGCATGTATTAATTAAACCTCCCTTCAGCCATGTGTTGATGGTGTGAAGCTGACACTGTAGCTAAAGCTAGGTACTGTTCATAGAGCTGATGAACAGTGTTTAGTGTCTGGAGCCGTGTTTTAGGAGTGGCTTGCCTGGAATAGATTTGTTATTAAGATTGATGTGGAAAAATGGGTGTTCTTGATATGTAGGTGCTGATTTTATGTCAATATCATCAATATATTTATTTTGTGTGTGCGCGCATGCGTTTAATATGCTATTTAATGAAACAAAAACTCTTGAGATTTTATTACAACTCCCATCACCTCTCTTTGTGAATTTGTTTGAACTTATGAGGTCGATAACTTTTTTTTTTTTGAATTACAAGGTCATAGTAAAACCATACAAAAGACTAAGGTCTAGTCATATATAAAACCATGATGTTTCTACAATCATGCGGTGGCTCATCAAAAATTATAATATTAAAGATATCATATAGAGGCTGGTGAGCTAAGAGATTAGCATATCGATTAGCTTCTTTATGGACATAGTCAAAGGGGAATATCCAGTCTCTCATAACAAGATCTCTGATCTTTCTAATAATGTCATAATATGGGTGACTCTCAGAGTAGGTACGGTTAATGAGTAACAACGCCTCCATCGAATCAGAGTAAATATTGATTCTTGATACTTTCGTATTCCAGCAAAGTTTAAGTCCCTCAAATATTCTCATGAGTTCAGCTGCTGTACTAGGTTAATATCCAAAGAACTTAGAAAAACCTTTAATCCAATTGTCCTTATCATCTCTGATGATGCCTCCATAAGCTGTAGCACCATTAATGGTAATAGAACCATTTGTGTCCAGTTTAACCCATCTGAGTTTAGGTGGGCTCCATTTTCCTTCATCTGTAGAGTTGCTTTTACCCAAGCAGTTAATCTTGGATAGAAGCTTCAAGTCATTATTTATCTATTGAGTGCTGGAGAAGGCAATATTGCTATTAGGAATGTTATCTATCAAGTATAATTTTTTACATCTAGCTTTCCAAATATTCCAGCAAGCTTGTATAAAAAGCTTCTGCCAAGGCATTCCTCCTGTTTTTAAACTACTTGCTTCATTCTTTGCATTCCAGATTATCCAGTCCTGCACATTAAAGGAGAAGAAAGTGTTAAGTCTTGTAGGTTTAACTAATTTTTGCCAGACTTCTTTGGCTTCTTCACAACCTCGTAAAATATGAATTGAGGAATCAGGGGGGTTACAATCAAATGGACAGAGACGTTGATGGGGAGCATTCCTAGATATTTGCATGTGATTGGACTAAAGATGATTTGAGGCAGCTTTCCATGAAAAGTGTTTTATTTTTTTTCATATGTAGGCCACTTCCAAATTTTAGTTCATATATCAGAGTGGTGCTGATCTTTTTGGAAATCCATGGCTTTGTAAGCAGATTTAATGGAGATGTTTTCATCAGATGAGGGTCTCCAAATGAGAACATCTTCTTCACGTCGTAGGTTAGGAGATTGCACAAGTAATATTTGTTTAATTACATCAGAGTGGAGGTAATGATTTATAAGATCAACTTTGAGCTGAAATTAAAGAGTAAAAATAATTAAAAGAAGTATTCAAATACTCCCTCCGTCCTTATATAGAAGAAATCTTTTAAAAAAATTTTTATCCTTAAATATAAAGAGTTGTTAGCATATTTTTTAATGAATAAACCATTATACCCTTACTAAATTAAAAAAAAAGATAAGTATTCTCATTAATTTATTTTAAAAAAATATTTATTTTTATTTACAATAAAATGGAAATGTTGTTGCGCACTTTTAATTAGACAACTAATTTTTATTAGTTTGCATGATTTGATTAAAAATATCTGAATGGAGAGAGTAATAAAAAAGTAACATTACATCATTAATGAGTGGTAAAGAATTATAAAGGCATGAAATCCAATGGAACTCAAATGACTGGGATCTATTGATTATTGGAAGCCAGTAACCAGAAAACGGTACAAATATGGTAAGACTGTAATATTTGTTTCTGGTATATATTATTAATTAAATACAAGTGGGCCACCATTTTATGTTGCCAAGATAAAAAGGATTAGGAACAGGATAATTGATCTGTGAGAGGAGTGATCTGTTCAAAGATTGGAAGCCTTCTGGATCTATTGTACCCCCAAACCGGGAGTAATTGGTCAATTCCTTTCACAAGAGCATCATGAGGCCCCAGCCGTGCATGTGACGCTGTAAGTTTCAATTCCGACATCATGTCCTGCGCTCTTTTAACCACCTTGCCCTTGTCCGAGCCCGCGATTACTTGCTCGAGAACCCACCGGGCCTCCTCAAATCGGGCCTGCCGCATCAGACACTGCCCCACATTGCAGGCCTTGTTGGAGTCCGGCTCTATCATCTGGGCCTTTTTAAACACCACCTCCGCCATCATGTAGTTCCCCTTCTGCATGTACGCCCACCCCAAGTTTCCCTGCACCCCTCTAATTCATTAATTCGTCATCATCTTTGATTTTATTCTGATGAATAGCAAGTAGGAATGATGATGGAGTACCAGTAATCTGGCAGTTTCTTGCTTGATAGAAACTTGGAATTTCTTGCCATGAGAGCGAGCAATTTTTGTGGGCTTTCCGCTGAAGGCTTCCCCTTGGTAGATTGATCTTAATTTCCTCTTGAGCAATTCTATCTGCTCCTCTACTCTTCCGGATTTCTGTCATTCACGAGTGAATAAGCGAAGCCATTCGTGTGCTACGCATAGTAGTATAGATGGATGGAATAGCGGGATGATACCTTGTAGAGGTCAATGAGGAGGTTGTCGAGCGAGTGCTGGGAGTGCTTGGAACAAAGGGATCTGAAGGACTTGATGGCGTCGATGGCTTCTCCGGCTCTGTCCAATTGCTTCATCACCACCGCCATGTCCTTGAGAGCACTCTCCAGCTTGTCCCCCGCTTTTATCGCCTCCCAAAACAATGCTACGGCAGCTTCCGGGTCTTTCTCCACTAGCTGCATTCCACGCATATGCTCAATTCAGTGTTATTAACTTCAATTCCCATCAAGGCTTCATGAATGGAATTGAAAAGGTTTTGGGAGCGACCATGCATACCTGAGCGTGCTTGGCTCTGACATAAGGAGTATCTCCGTAAGGTACCTTGTGAATGACATGGAAGAGGTCGTCTTTTTTCCCTTTGGGGCCCTTCTTCCTGCTCTCGCTTGCTTCCTCCATGTGAGAGAGTCTGCAAGCACTGAATTCCACACCTCAGAGCCTTGCAAGCATTTATACCCCACAATCTGGATGTATGTTGTCGCAAACCCTGTCCATATTCCTTCCCCTTCCAATCGCACTCATCCTGCCGTCTGCCTCCTGTCGTGCCACATGCGGCACGATCTGATCATTTGTGTACATATGACTCGGTGCGTTTTTGTGTTCCGGATTAATCACACTGCCTCTCCCTTCATATGCTTATGCCTCTTGTCTTGCCATCGCATCTCATCTAGCAACTGCACACCCGGCATAATTTTACTTATATTTATTTATGTTGTTTTCTCAAAAAAAGTTCCGGTAATTAAATAGGATTCTAAAAACTTATTATGGTTAGGCGCGCATTCTAAAATACAAGTCAAAAAAAAATTTTATATACCAATAAAATCTTTAACTCTTTATTTTCATAAAAATATACTTTCTTCATTTCAAATTATAAGATAATTTAAGATAAAATTATGCATACCAACAAAGCTCAATAATAATGCTTTATAAACTTATTTTTTCAAAAACTAAACTTAAAAATATCTTTTATTTAATATAACTTTAAATCTTTAGGCCAAAAAAAATATAACTTTAAGTCTATAATTATTTTAATTCTCTCTCTACGTAAAGGGTAATATTGAAAAAAGTATTAATGAAATTTTATTTTTATTAAATTATCTTATGGTCCTTTCATTCCTCATTTCAAATTATAAGATAATTTGATATAAAATTGCACAAACCAATAAAATACAATAATGACATTTTACTAACTTACTTTTTCTAAACAAAACTATATAATCTTTTTAAAATATCCCTATATATTTAATCATTAAGATACAGTATTATTTTAATTTTCTCTCCATTTGAAGGGTAATATTAAAAAATTATGATTAATGAAACAATTATTTTTTCCAAATTTTTTTATAATTTAATATGAAGGGGATATATTGTTTTACCTTTTTACCTTTAGTCACATTTATCAATGTACTTCTTGATAAGTGAGAAAAAAATTTACACAAAAATTTAGGTTAATTACAATAAGTAAAAAAGAAAAAAATTTACATGTATTAAGTTGCTCATGATTTAAATAAGATTAATTGAGGAAAATGTTAATATTTTGGACTCAAGTCGCTTTTTTATTCCTAGTTGAATCAATTTTTGTTAGTTACACTGCATTACTTTATGATTATAATTGCACTCTATTGGTGATCTGATCATGTGCAGTGACTTTGAAGTGGGTAATCATAAACATACATTTTATTCAATGTTGGAGGAGAGAGATATGCATAAAAGACTTCTCGTATGTAAAGCACACAATTATATTTATCAAAATGTAATTTTTTATTTTATATTTATTCAAATAAAAAAATTATAATAATTTTTAATAAATTTATTAATCACTAATTTAAATAATACAAATTTAATTTAAACAGTTAAATTAAATATTTTTTATTTTTATAAATTAATTATCTAGATATATTCTTGAAAGTTCAGATATAATATTAAAATTTTTAGATAATTATTAAAAAAAATTATTTGATAAATACAATATAAAAAATAAAGATAATATCCTGGCATTCTTATAAAAAAATATTTTTATGAAAAAATTACAAGTTAAAAATTTAAAATTGGAACCGTTCAGAGCAAATTTGAATAGTTACTTTATAAAAATTATTAAAATTTTAATATTAAATTTAAACAATATAAATTAAATATAAACTGTTCATACTAATAATAAAAACAGGTTTATTAAAAATATAAAATATAATTGTGTGTTTTACAAATAAAAGGTCTTTTTATGCACCACTCTTTTCACTCATAAAACGCATGATAATGATTACCTACTAACAAGCGACTTCACGTTATCAGAATCCCTCTACTATTGGTGGATTTGCGCACCCTATTTCGCTATTTCTGTACGGGAAAGAGAAGTTACAACAAAATCTGAGGGACGTTATATAATTTTTCATTATCGCTGATCAAGGGACCTTCACTAAACTTTTCTCTATAATTAAATTGACACTCCATATCGAAGTCAAAGTGTCATTCCCCCATCTTTTTTGGATAATGAATCCTTCGATTGAATTCCAGGCCATTATTTTCTTTTTCCTATGTATATGTGCTTTTATTCAGCTATGCTGCTTGAATTTTTTTTGAATTTTGAAGAACACATACAAAATTTTATTTGAATTTGTGATGAAAATGATAAAATTATTCTCATTTAAATAAAAATATAAATAATTTATTCATTTTCATGTTGTTTGTTGTTCATTTAGTTACAGAATATTATTCATTTCCTACTTTATTTATTTATAGTCATGCTTTCACTTAATTTTATTTTAGGGCCATAAATAAATAAAGTAAAAAAATAAATAACATTCAATAATTAAATAACAATATATAGTATAAAATAAACAAATCGTCTTATCGTGAAACCAACATTTGGAATAAAATATAGTGAAATTAGAGCTATAAATAAGTGAAGTAAGAAAAGAAATAACATTTCGTAAATAAATAAATAATATATAATATAGAAACAAATAAGTTATTTATGTTATTTTTTTAAATGAGGACAATTTTGTCATTTCTCTCACAAATTTGATAGAAATTTCGCACGAGTCTTTCAATAAAATTTTAGAAATTCAGGGGTTCTCTTTTTCATTATCTTTGATCAAGGATCCCTCACTGAAATTTTCCCTTAATTATAAGCTTGAAAAATCAATTGGAGATTATAATAAGATTATAATATAGCAGTAAATTGTACTTTTCTGTCTCAAATTATGAGATAATTTTAAATAAATCTTATATACTAATAAATTTTATTAAATACACTTAAAAATTTTATTTTTTCAGAACAAAAATATAAAATTTTAAAATTATCCTTTATTTAATATATTAAAAAGAGAGGGAAACAAAAATTAAATAAAGAGAGAAATAATAATATTGAAATAAACCTACTTAATGAAACATTAACCTTTTTAAAGTGTCTTATATATTAAGATGATGAATCTTTTTTAAAAATATTTTATAATTTGAGATGGATGGAGTAGAAGATAAATGTTAAATTTCTGAAAATTTGTATTAATTGATTTTTAAAAAAAACCTTTAAAATCTTATTAATGTGAAAATTCTGCAACTCAGATTTCAAGTAATGATTGAGGACTTTGAGTATTTTATTAAAATTTTGAAATATTTTTATTCTGAGCTATAATTAAATTAATTTACATATAATAAAAAAAATCATGGCGAATGAAAGCGACGTGAGATAGTTGTGGGGACAAACAGAAGTGAACCTGGTACAGAATCCGGGTTAGATTCGCTAGGATGCCTTGTCCGCACGAATGAACCTGCCGTGGGGAAGCATCATTCTTTCTTTCCTTTTAAATTTGCACCTTTATAAAATTTAAAAAAAAAATAAAGGTGCCGAAATGTATAAAGGAGGATGACGATGAAATTTTAAAACTGAAGATTTATAATAGTTAAATTCTGATAAAATTTGCATAAAAAATAAGTTATAAATATTAATTCAAATAGTTAGAAATAAAAATTCTAACTGCAAATTAAAAGTTATATTTAAAATTTAAATTTTCTTATTTGTATTTAGAACTTTTAAATTTATGACTTCTGAATTAATATTTATAACTAATTTTTTTAAAAAAAATTATCAGAATCTAACTATCATAAATTCATTATTTTGGCACCTTAATGTAAATATAATTGAGCTTTTGCTCATTTGAAAAAAATCAAGTGTTAAATATCTTGCATTTCAAAATTTGCTGGAATGGCTCAATTGTACATGCATGAAGACATTACTTTTCTACGGACATTGGAAAACTTCAACTTCAATTGGAATATAGAAGATTATATTTTTTTTTTTACAGGAACAGTTTGCTTCTCATACAACCTCTGTTCTACCATAGGATTTTGCTTATTCAAATATTTCCATGTTAGGCTTGTAGCTGGACTTTCGAAAACACCATGGTTTTTGCAGCCTTTGCAAAGAGACATTGGTGTCTTATTAACATCCTTTGGTGTTTTAATTTTTGTTATTTAATTTCAAGTTGCCCTTTACCAGAAAGAAAAGAAAATCTATTATTTTAATCACATTATAAAAATATTTATAAATACACAAAAATTTAGTTGAAATTTGAATAGTTTTAAATTAACTTGTGTTTATTATATTAAGTGCCAAAATATAACTAAGGGTTAAAGTATATACCTTTAATCTTTTAACTTTACATAATATTTCATTTTTATATTTTAATTTTATAACGTGTTTTTTTAGTTCTTTAACATCAACCCCATTAGTTTCATGCCAAAAAAAAAAAAATTATGTTAAACTTTTAAATTCTAGCAAAATATTCTCAAATATTAACATATTAAGTTTATTTATTAAAAAACAACAATGATTAACACAAAAAATAATTATATGAAACTAATAGTGTTATGTTAAGGGATTGAAAAAAATGCTTTATAAAATTAAGGGACCAAATTAAAATATTATATAAAGTTATATGACTAAAAAGAATATTTTAACCTATAATTAAAAATATCTACTTAGTGCTTAGTATGAAAGTTATGGTTTCAATGGACATTAATTTATTGCTTTAAATATTTTTGGTTAAAATCTCCTAACTCCTCGAAACTGAGTTAAATGCATATAACACCGTAACATTCAAAACTTGATTATTAACAGAACAGTTAATTCACACCAACTAAACTTTCTCACTTCCTTTCTGTATCCTCCTCCGGCATCACCTTCCGCTGCAGAGAGAGAGAGTTGTTTGTACATAATAGGAATCCAAAGGCCATTTTGGCGGCTGAGGGTTTGGTAAAGCATTTTAAATGGTTATAAAATAACAAATCCCGTCAAAAGAGGAACAAAATTGAAGGCCTATTTCATCTGGAGCATCCATTTATCCTCTAAATTAAATCTCATATACGTGGGCAATGATTGTCACCCATTTAACGCTTCTGTTAGGAAAATGAATCTTTATGCGTAAAAAATTGAAGATTAGCGAGGCTATCAATCAAGTATTAAATGTTCAGAGTGTCATGCGCATTTGAAAAATCAAACTCACAATAAACTAC